ACCCCTCTTTCTTTTTTTAAAGTAAACTCTGCCCTCAATGTGGGGCTCAAGCTTGTGACCCCAAGGTCAAGAGTTGCCTACTCTACTGACTGAGCCAGCCAGGAGCCCCTCAATTATTTTCTTATTAATTTTTATGAGGTTTTAAAAAACATTTTATTCTACTTACCAAGTACAATACAAGACACACAATAGGTACTCCTTAAATATACTTTGGGCTATTTCTTAATTGTTCCTGAGGACTTTTTAGGAAAAAAAGCAGACTTTCTAGGATGCTAACTCTTTTCTCTTCCTACCCAGGACACAGCTGGGCAAGAGCGGTACCGGACCATCACCACAGCCTATTACCGTGGGGCCATGGGCTTCATTCTGATGTATGACATCACCAACGAGGAGTCCTTCAATGCTGTCCAAGATTGGTATGAGATTCATTCATTCACCTCATTCATTCATTCATTCACCTCAGTTATTCATTATTCATCAAACTCTTTAGGAAAACCTAATGTGTGCTAGGTCTTGTGCTGTATGCTAGGGAAATCTATGTGAATCAGACATGGCTCCTGTCCTCAAGGAACTCACAGATGAGAGGAGAGGAAGATAAGTAAGCAAGCAGTGAGAATATCATGTACATGTGCAGTGATAGAGAGGTACTGTTGGGAATCCAACAGAGGGCTGTGACCCAGCTTGGGGAGTCAAGGAAGGGGTCATGGAGTTGCTGACACAGATGCTACATTTTGTAAGATGAACAGGAGTGAGCCAGGGGGTGAATAGATAAGAATATTCCAGGAAAAGTATACAGATGTACAAAGATGAGAAGGTAAGTGAGGGGTATAAAAAGAGCAGAGGTCATGAAGAATTTTGTGTGTTGGGATAAGGAATTTGGAGTTTATTCCCTAGATGACGACATTTGAACAGGGAACCAGCAGGTTCAGATTAATGTTTTGGAAAGATCATCCTGGTCATAGTAGTGAATGAATCCACATATGACATCCCCATAAAGTTTATCCCCAGGCTAGGGGTCAAGAACACATCTAGTCCAAGTTTGTAAAGATTCAACATACAATGGAAATCAGCACAGCTTCACAGGTACAACCTCTGAATGACTTACACAGCTTTCTTCCTAGAGTATAATTCACAGGGAGAAGGGAGCACAAGGGGAAGGACAGGTAAGAGGGAGGGCCCAGGACACGGTGCCCCTAATCAGTAGAAAGGATTGGGATGGGAGAAGATGGAACATCTGTGCCATGGTCTTCTTCAGAATCAGAGATGCTGAGAAGGCCAGCAATTCAGCAGCGGTGCTGGCCAATGCCAAGGTTATCTCTGCTGCCCTTTGCCCAACAGCCATCCTTCGATGACTTCCCTTCTGTGAAGGAACAGTTGCCGTGACTGTGTGAAGTACTATTGGTGCTTGTAGTCTTGAGTTGTGAGTGACTTTGCAGGCTCTCCAAGGTGCCATTCACGTGTCTGTCATTCATGGTGGTCTAGGTTCTCCTTCTCAGCCTATTGGTTATCCTCCCCTTCCTCCTTTTTCTCTCTTCCCTTTTAACAAGACCCCTCCATCTTCCTTTTCTCTTTACTAGTCTTTTTTCCTCTTTCCTTTTCTCTTCCTTTTCTCCTTTCTTATTCCCTCTTTTCCCTTCAGTCACGATTTGTCTCAGCTCCTCCTCTTTCTCTCCCTCTCCATCTTCCCCCCTACCTCCTACCATGGAATTATTAGCTCTTTCTTTCAGTGTCTCTACACTGCTAATTCCCTGTTGGCCTTGACCTCCTTCCCTTTTGCCATCAGTCCCTGTTCATTCTGTCTCAGGAACACAGTGACTTTAACACCTGGTGACGATTCCTCCAAGAATAACCTGAATTGCTAATCTGGGAGCTGAGAGTGGATGGGGGTGAGAAGAGGGACAAAAATGACAGAAAGAATAGTATGGGGAGACATTAAGAGTTGGCTCCAGAGACCTGCCTTGAGGCTAAAGATTAAGTGTCTATTTCTCCTAAGCCCTGGCCTTTAGGTTTTGCCTCTGAGAAACTTGGTCCTAGCCTAGCCCCTCCAGTGCCCAGCACAGAGCCTCATTCTTTGTCAGCCCATGACCAACGTGGCTGAGTGAATTCCGTATCTTAAGGGAATGGCTTCTCATCCTTAAAGAGAAGATTGGTGGTGGGATCAGCTTTAGGAGCAGGGTTGGTAATAGGTCCAGAAACAGTTAGGGTTCAGTTAGTTTGAGTGTCAGTGTCAGGATAGGGTTGCATTTAAGATCTGCTTCAGGATTAACCATTTGCTGGCTTATTCATTCACCAGAAATTTGCTGACATCTCCTCTACTTTGTGCTCCGTGCTGGGGACTGGCACCCCAAAGACCAATGAGACTATCCTTGCCCTCAAGGAAAGACTGATAAGTTTAGCTAAATATAACAGGTGCCATGGTAAAGGTTTAAGTGACCAAAATGAGATTCCATTTTTGTCTGAAGGGATGGTTAGAGACAGAGTTAGGCCCATCCCCACAAGGAGATGTCCACAATATAAGGGCCCTATTTTATTCCTTACGTTAAAATTTTGTTTCTCATTATGTAAGTAGTATATACTCACTTTTGAAAAATTGAGAAGTACATAAAGTATTTTTGAAAAGTTTCATAATCATCTTTTGTGAGGGAAACTACTGCTGACGTTTTGGTTTCTAAAAATATTCATCATCTGAGGCTTCAGTGAATGTTTGCAAGTCACAGAAGAAGAAGGAGAGGCTAGCTGGGCCTAAGAAAGCCTGAGACGACTTCCCCCAAGGAGTTGTGGGACCATCCTTGGGTCTTGGGGGATGAGTTAGTGTGGGGAAGGGACTCCCAGTATAGACAAAGGCACAAGCTATGGAAGAGCATTTGGGGATGGGTGGGAAGTGAGAGGAAGTATGATAAAGCTGGAGAGACAGGATGTGAATGTTCTTGAACACCTGAGGGATATAGACTGCATCACATAGCTACTCGTTTTGTGGGCAGGGTTGGGGGGGGGGAGCATAGAAGAGTCCTTTCAGGAAAGGATCAGCTAGATGTTTTAGAAAGAACTCTCTGCCCAGTGAAGAGAGGGATGGGCAGATGTATTAGAGGAATGCTACTAAGAGGTGGGTGAGGTTTGCAACCAGGGCTTAGGGGTCAGCACCTGTGACAACCAGCAGGGGCAGGTATCTGTCTGTCCTCAACTGAGTTAATTGACATAACTTGGGTGTAGCCTGCCTCCTGGAAGGGAAACCACGTCTTAGAGTTTTGCAGGGTCTGCCACCAGAGCAGGATGTCATTAACACAGTCTTCTCTTGGTCTCTCTTTAGGGCTACTCAGATCAAGACCTACTCCTGGGACAATGCGCAGGTTATCCTGGTGGGGAACAAATGTGACATGGAGGAAGAGAGGGTTGTTCCCACTGAGAAGGGCCGGCTTCTTGCAGAGCAGCTTGGTATGTGTACAACGTGTGTGTGTGTGTGTGTGTGCGCGCGCACGCACATGCATGTTTACAGTTAAGTGTGACATTAAAGGTATGTTGTGATTGTGAATTATGTACATGTGTGCTCTATGTATATTGTTTATATTTGTGTGATGTACGTGTAAGCTTTGTGCTAGTGAATTTTAGGTAATTTATTATTTATGATAATGTGTATATTTTGTTACATTGAATTAATAAGTAAAATTTAAATTTATGAACTATTTTTTTTCACCAGTGCCTTCCACAAAGGCTTTGAGGTATCTTATAAAAATCATCATAATAGGGGCACCTGGGTGGCTCAGTTGGTTAGGCATCCAACTTCGGCTCAGGTCAGGATCTCGCATCTGTGAGTTCGAGCCCCACATGGAGCTCTGTGCTGACAGCTCAGAGCCTGGAGCCTGCCTTGGAGTCTATGCCTCCCTCTTTCTCTGCCCCTTCTCCACTCGTGCTCTCTCGCTCTCCCAGAAATAAATAAACATTAAAAAAATGTTTTAATTATCATAATACATCAAAAAAATTAGAAAATCAAAGTAAAGGGAAAACAAGGGTAGGAGGAAAATAAGAGGAAGCCAGGGGTGAGATAAGTATGTATGTTTTAGGTTCCCAGGCATGTGTAAGAGTTGGGTCAAAATATTGGCTTTTAGCTTCCTACCAGCCATGCAAAGAGAGAAACATAATCAATTACACGGTCTCAAGATGGTCCTTAAAATAAAAACAACCCCTCCAAAATAAAATAAAAACAAA